CCCCCACAACTTTCAACCCTTCCACTCCTTCTCCCGCTCCTCCTCCGCCCGTTCCCATTTTCCCTTGCGCTCTTCCCGCTCCTAACACCCTCCCCGTTTCCCCTGCTAGTCCTCCTCCCACACCTCCTCCCGCTCCTCCTCCCACGCGTCCTCTGCCCCTTCTTGTTTCCCCTCCCAGTCCTTCTCCCGCTCACTCTCCGGCTCCTCCCACTTCTCCTCCTCCCGCTCCTCCACCAAACAACGTTACAAAGATCCCATCATAGCCCCACTCCCGCTTGTTCCCCGCTCCTCCTGCCTCTCCTCCTCCCTCTCTTCCTCCCTCTCCTTCTCCCACTCCCCCTCTTGCTGCTCCTCCCACATCTCTTGCTGCTGCTCCTTCTCCCGCTGCTTTTCTTGCTCTTCCCCCCATTCCTCCACCCCCTCCTCCCACTCCTCTTCCCGCGCCATAGCCTGTTCCCGCCCCTTTCCCATTCCTTCACCCACTCCTCCACTTGCTGTTTCTTCCGCTCCTCCCACTCCTCCCCCTCCCGCTCCTTCGCCAAACAACGTGACAAAGATCCCGCCACAGCCCCGCTCTCGCTCCTCCTGCTACTCCTCCCTCTCCTCCTCCCTCTCCTCCTCCCTCTCCTTCTCCAGCTCCCCCTCCTGCTGCTCCTCCCGCTGCTTCCCCTGCTCTTTCCCCCGTTTCTCCTCCCGCTCCTTTTCCCGCTCCTCCTCCCGCTCCTCCTGCTTCTCCTCCACCTATATCTTCTCCACCAATATCCCCTCCCACTCCTCCGCCTCTCACACGTTCGTTAACCCCCTCCCTGTTTCCCCTCCCGCTCCTCTTCGTGTGCCTTCTACCACCCCCCTTCCCACACCTCCTCCGCCCCTTCCCATTTCCCCTCGTGCTCATTCCCCTGCTCCTAACCCCCTCCCGTTTCCCCCCTGCCGCTCCTCCCGCTCCTTCCGCTCCTCTTCCCACGACGCTTCCGGCCCTTTCCGTTTCCCCCTGCACCTTTTTAGGTCCCTCCTCCCACTCCTCCCACTCCTCCTTTTCCGACCCCGCCACCCGCTCCTTCTCCCGCTCCTCCTCCGCCAAACAACGTGACAAAGATCCTACCATAACAATCTCAGATGAACAAAAAGGCCCGCCACGTGGCTAGCCGACCGAGTGAGCGAGCGAGCGAGCGAGAGAGAGAGAGAGAGAGAGAGAGAGAGAGAGAGAGAGAGAGAGAAAGAGAGACCTTTCCTTCGATAGGATGAGCGGCGCACCGGCCAACAGGCAATTCGATTGTGATCATCCTGTCAATGCAAGTAGCGTAAGGCCAGTCGCGGGGTTGGAGACTTACCTGTTCGCCAGTGCGTCTCTCTCTCTCTCTCTCTCACACACACACACAAACACACACACACACAAACACACACACACACACACACACGTGTAGTAGTGTATATTTCCATGTCCTAGCGAAAGATTCATTCGACTTTGCTCATCCTATCGATGCGAGAAGCGTGAGGCCAGCCGCGGGATTTGAGACTTACCTGTTCGTCGGTGCATGTCTCGTCCAATCTCTCTCTCTCTCTCTCTCTCTCTCTCTCTCTCTCTCTCTCTCTCTCTCTCTCTCTCTCTCTCTCTCTCTCTCCGCTGGATTGGAGACTTACCTGTTCGCCGGTGAGTCTCTCTCTCTCTCTCTCTCTGTCTCTCTCTCTCTCTCTCTCTATCTCTCTCTCTCTCTCTCTCTCTAGCACACACACACACACACAGATGTAGTAGAGTCTATTCCCTTGTGTTAATGGAAGATTCTTTCGATTTTGCTCATGCTATCAATGCAAGTAGCGTGAGGCCAGCCGCGGGGTTGGGGACTTCCTGTTCGCCGGTGCGTCTCGTGTTTCCCAAGGACAAATTATTTTTGAAATGGCTGGTGTTAGTTTGTCAAATGCTCAAGCAGCTGCTACTTTAGCTTCACATAAATTAGGTTTGTCCACCAAGTTTGTTCAATGGCCGTTATTAGCTCAGAGTCAATCAATGCAAAACACAAAAACAAATAAACAGTAGTAAAAAAAAAAGGCTCAAAGAGTGTGATTACTGTTGGAACATATTTACAAGTGTCTAATAATTCTGGAGCAAAAATCGTACTCTCTCTCTCTCTCACTCTCTCTCTCTCTCTCTCTCTCCACATGGCTAGCCGAGAGAGAGAGAGAGAGAGAGAGAGAGAGAGAGAGAGAGAGAGAGAGAGAGAGAGAGAGAGAGAGAGAGAGAGAGAGAGAGAGAGA